TATTATTATTATTATTATTATTATTATTACCGGTTTTATTGTTATTACTATTATATTTATATTTAATTTTGTTTTTTCTTTTTCTTTTTCTGTGATTTGGGTGGCTATTTGTAAGTTCTGTTTTTGGCTTTCCCCCTCAGCTTTATATATATGAATATGCATGTATTTCTGTTGTGTAAATGATTAAAGGCCTACCGTCCACACGAACACCCCTTTTACACGGACGCGGCTTCATTTCTAGCCTCATCTTTTTCGATGTGGTTACGCCTTCCGTTTACACGGCGACGATGGAACAATCAGTGAAAGCGCATCTTTTTGAAAACGGCTTCCGTTTGGCACTGGTATTACCAGCCGCAAAACGCGCGGGCCAAAACTGCAAGTGATGTACCCATTATTTACAGCAATCAAGCTTACGAGCCCAGCTAAAGAAGCCTGATAAGGCGTTTATAAAAGGGCTTAGCAACTTCCCGTACTGCAGTTGTTCAACTTACTGTCTGTGCGTAAGATGTGACGCGCAGATTAAACCAACCTCGTGCCCAGGGTCCTCTCTACTCGAGGTAGGGAGAGGACCCTGAGAGCGAGGTTGAGATTCAATCAACATAGCCCCTTAATTGCGTTTCCATAACATTAAAAGTTAATTTAATTCGGCTTATTACATGTTAGGCTGAGTACAAACACAAATTCCGCAACAAGAGAATGAACAACAAGATACATAAATAAAACTTTTCATTTAATGTGATAATACTTCCAGTGAAAGTTCCTTGTGGACGAAAACTTGAACAACACTTGTAGAATGATTCAGGTGTTCAGTCTCGACTCGTCAATTTCTTGAATGTACAATGTTTATTCCTTTTCTTTAACTGATCCCGTCAAGACACCGCTTTCTATTTCAGAGTTCAGTTCTTTTACCACCGTCATGTGGTCGAATTTCTCTGGGAAGACATTGAATGTTTTCAAGATCTCCTCTCTTCGATCGCCTTGTGAAGCATAGTACATCTGAACTTGATAGGCGAGCCACTGTGCGTCCAACACGCTCTGTAAAGACGTTGAAAACAATATAATTACGCCAAAACACTTAGGCCCCTCCCACACAACACTGGAGCTGAATTTGAAAACGGAGATTTCGCTCTGAAAACGCATCAAACGTTTTCTTTCCGCAGTACGCCGGAGAAATTTAAAAACGCAACTTTTACCAGTTTGTTTGAGGAAAACTCGGCCAGGAAAATCACATGATTACCTTGACTCCATCGTTTTCGAAAAGCTCCGTTTTCAAAGCGTTTTCCGGCCACACGAAAAGGAAAAGCAGGCGTGTTTAATTTTCCTCCGGTTTGAAGAGCGTTTTCGAAAAGCTCCGTCTTCGTGCTGGATTAGTGTGGACGGTAGGCCTAACCGTGGAAGTAAAGCTACGTTATCAAACTTTCCGGCGTTATGTGGACGCTTCCCCAGATAAAAGGATAAGTGTGGCTGAGCTCCTTTTTCAGTTGAATTGAGGATCAGTCTACAATTTTCCTTATTAATGATGATTAACGTTACTAATGATGAACACAAATAAAACAACAAACAAGCTAACAGGAAGCGCTTTTTCTTAGCGAGCTCGCAAAGTAAGCGCATTGTAACCTTTTGTTTTTGAGAATATTTTAGTGGGAAAAAACACAAAGCTTTTTTTGATCCTTACATGAACTGGTCTGAACAAAAAAAAGTCGCAAACACCTTAGAAAGCAATTCTTAAGATCACACGAAAATTGTCCTCTTAAAAGTTGGTATGACACTTTGAAAAATTTAGGCTGCATTTTGGAAACTTGCTTTTTGTCATCTGTCTCAATCGTTCTGAATCTTAACAAGAGAAGATGAAGATTGAGAGAGTTAATCCGTCATATAGACCTTACACCCAGTGTAACCCCTCAAGTTATTTTTAGATATGGTATCCAGTTCTCCCGTGGAAATTTTACCACGCGCGTTTCGTAAGTATTTTCTCGGAGGATGAAAATGCGCGTAAAGCCCCCTAGGCTGTCCACGCGAGTAAAACTTGCCCCGCACTGAGGATTGGCTATTTCTAGATCTCCTNGTGCGTCTCGCAGTCTCGATTTTTCTACGAAGCTGTCTCGGAGTCTCGATTTTTCGCAAGGCTAAGGGTCTCGAAGTCCCAATTCGTTCCTTTATCTGCTTTTTTAAAATGACTTCTTCTCTTCACTTGATATGGAATTTCAATGACGCAACTTACAAATTTCCCTTAATCCTAACTTCTCCTAATTGTCGTAATTCCACAAAAAGGTACAAAATCTACCACAACGTCCGTTTTGGCGCCAGAAAAACAGATATTTTTCTCTAGGATATCATAACGTAGTGTGTTACAATCAAATTTCCAGTTCCAGTTAGTTCCAAGAAGCTGGCTTAAGGCAGTACAAGCTACTTCTAGCTCTCAGCTAAATCTGGAGCTCGAATTTTAAGAGTCTGAACATCGCTCGCTCGCACTCAAAACACTTTGAAGTCTCGGTCTCGCAATCTAAAAAGTCAAAATGTCTCGAGCTCGCAAAGAAAAACGCTTGTCTCGCCGTCTCGCAAAGTCTCGCATTTACCATTCGCCACCCCTAAATGTTCTGTGTTTGGTTCTGGGAACAGCGAGGAGGTTATGGTCTTGGGAGCACACGCGATAAGTTGTGTTAGTCTTTATGTTTTAAAAGTCCTTTATATATTAGTCAGTTGCTTGATTATTTTAAAAGAGCTTTGTAAACAAGAAGTAACACTTTAAACCAAACACGATAAATAACAACCATTTTTTATCGTCAGTGAATGGCTGGTTTTGTTCACAGGGCTTCTTGTATCCATAGTTTTTCAACGTAGATAAGTAAACACCGCAAGTGGCAATATTTTTTACTGCTTGACCTAGGAAGTTTGAAGTCTCTTGTCTGCTTTCCATACAATAACATCCATTAACTACTGTAACTGGGTCAAAGATTGAAGGAATATTACAGACAAATACAGAAAATAAAAGGACTGCAAACAATGTTAATAACAAGTTTATAGCAAAATTTCAATACGTCATTATTAAACATACTGGGATGACAGCACTGATGCAGTCCTTATCTTTGTGATATTCTCGCCAAATCTGGAATGAAAATAAAAACAAATTGAGCAATCAAAAAACGCTATCCAAATCATGATTTACGTGTAAAGGGCAGTAGCATAAAGATTCAAGCATTGGAACCTAGTTAAAGTTAGGTTGAGTTTGAGCCCTGTGTGTCAGAAGAGGTCAATCATTAACGTTTTCTGCAGCCTGAGGTCAACTGGTTTTCACAAGCAGGCAAAAGTTTTGACTGACTGAATTTCTGAATTTTCTTTAGTAGAAAAACTTTGCTCTAGATGGTCAAATGAGACAGGCAAAATCATCCTCACAGCTGGTCAATTTGCCTGATGCCTGGCCCTTAATGAAACCCCCGTATCAGGGTAATGATGTTGTGTTCTTGAATAAGACACTTTACTTTCATGGTGCCCTTTGGCAGTCTAGACTGAAGTAAACATATTATTGTGTAAAGATGAGTTGCTGGGGCAACCTGACAGAAACAGGGTTGTCACAAAGGTCAGAAGTTATTGTTAGAACATGTGGTTAATTTTGCCACCATTTCCTCAACAATCAGACAAATAGCCTGGCCAGCTATGGTAATTGTAATTTTTCACCCAAAACCTCAGAATTCCAATTTCTAGAACTAGTAATGTGTCCTGTTTGAGAATGTGAAACGTATTCTTCAACAAGTCACAACCTGTTTCAAGATCAACATAACAAAAAGTCAAACAATAAGTTGTCCCGTGTTAGAACAAATCATGGCAAGTTACAACACATGTTCATGTACAGTAAGCTTAAAGGATCCTCGTTAACCTCTGCCATTTTCGATGCCATCAAAATTATTGATGTTGCATTGTGAAGTGAAATCTTATTGCTTACTGTAAGTTGTGTTCCTGAAAGTATGTTTGATTATCTTTAGTAGTTTCACAGTTAACTGATTTCCTTCATTTTGACATGGTCCAAATAAAATATAATAGACAAACTTTTGCATGTAGACAAAAACAAAGGTGTGGCTGACTATAGGGCCCTTAAACTATAATGGCATGGGTTAACAAGTGCATTTGAATAATATGGGACTATTTCCTCTGAACAGCAGTGTTTCAAATACGCACCTGTCCAATTTCTTCTGCACTTTTGTCCATAATTTTATCCAGATGCATAATGGAGTTTAAGGTCTACCAAATGAGAGGAAATTAACACATGTTTCAATTTTGAGCTGGACCAATGGCAAACGATTATTGTACCTGGGATGGATAATACAGCTTGTGTTCCTCACAAAAAGGCAGTACAGATGCCAAAAACATAACAGAAGTTTACTCAATTTGAGTAAATCATTTGAGTAAACTTGCGTCTAACAGAAATGAAATGAATGATTCTTAAGGTTGCATTATACATAACTCTTTCCTAAGACTCAATCCTTTATAATTCTGATATGACAAAAAAGATGATTTCCAGTCTGTACTGCACAGTCTCAGCACCCTAATGTTTATAAACATAAAAAACCTCACTCAATAGAATGCAAATCGATGTTACTTGTTACAAACCACATATAATACAAGTATCTTTGAGGCCTTTCAAATTCTCTTTCCAACTGCTTCAAAGCTGTTTCATCAAGTGATATGAGAAAGAACGAAACATAAAGCTTTGTGTTACTTCATGTCCATAATGGCGGCTGACATCAAACTTTGAATTTACTTCACTAAGTAGTTGCAAAATGTTCACATTTTGTGACATCATGCATGAAACAAAACAACAAACGCAAACAAACTCTCGAGAGTTTGCAGCTATGGACTGGAAATCATCTTTAAGGTCAGCTCATTATGATATGATGATAGATGCGAATGCAGCCATAACACTACTGGAAAAAAGACTTTTCTCAGGTCTTTTTTCCAGTATTGTTATGGCTGCATTCACATCTATCATCATTTCTACATTTAACTGCTACTGTTGGACATCTATCATTATGAAATGTCTAAACATTATCTAACAAACAAATCAGAAACAGTTTTAAACCTTCTGTCCATATGTAGACGCTTCTCCAGTGGACGACAAAGGATTGCTTCCAAGAAGCGCACTCTACAAAAAATATATTATAATCATTACAGTGTATTATATCATATAATTATAGTGTACTTGAAAACTGAAAAAAAGAAATGATTTAATACAAATTAAAGGTATCAAATGATTTAATGGAAGTAAAGAAAAATGAATTTAAATCTCCTGGATAAAGTGAGCTGGCTATGATAACAAAGCATCTGGAAGCTTCATTTTTTTAATCTTTAGTCTACATGTATGATATACATCTTTGGACCTAGGTGTATTAATGATGGGTGCTGGTAAATTTCATTTCTAAAGATCTGCAATAGACTAGTGTCACATCCAGGTTTCTTTATGCTCCTGATACTGAAATGGGATAAGATCTGGGTGTGGTATGAGGTCACTTGGCCCAATAGTGAGATTCCCTTAAATCTTATCATGTAGGACAGTAATAGATAAGTGTAAATTGACAGTAATATTAACACTAGCCACAAGACTAAAATTAAAATGTATAATTGTAAAACAAAAGTTACTGTCGTGCCATTAAAAGCTCACATCAGCAGCCCTTTGCTGGAGCTTCTTTTTGAATCTTTCAGCTTCTCCTCTCACTTTGGCATCTAGACAGAACTTCTCCTCTAAACTCTTCTCTTCTCTGTGAATTACCATGGGATACAAAGACATAAGGTATATTTTTGTGCTGACAAGTTTAAAAATGAGTATTTCAAGCAAAGAAAGAAATAAGGGAAGAAAGCAAGTAAGCCAAGATGGAGGAAAGAAGGAAGGAAGGAATGAAAGGGGAGAAGGAAAGAAAGGAGGAAGGAAGGAAGGCGTAGGTGCATCAAAGCTCACACTGAAGATAAACCAACAATTTAAATAAAAATCACAGTCAAAGAAGGATGCAACAGGGAAGCAGGATGAAGCTTGAGAAGGAGGAGGGAAGGAAAAAAGGGAGGAAGTTAGGAGGGGGGGTGAGAGGAAGGAGGAAAGGGAAAGAAGAAGCAATCTTAGAGAGAACTCTCTTTGAAAAGGTGACAGCCAGGGTGCATTCTGCAAGGCTTCCACATCAAAGATACCAACGGCATAGCTAGGGGTGTATTAGGGTGCCCATGACCCCCTTTTGTAAGCCTTTTTTAAGCAAACAACCTACAACAGGTGGTGAAAATGCCAGGACAATCTGGTGAGTACCCTCACTTTGACACAGTGTGATCCCCCCTTTGTAAAATCCTGGCTATGCCCTTGGATATGCCAAGGCTTTTTAAATTCCATGCCACACACCTGGATAGCAACCTAAGTCCCACCGCCGAAGAATGCTATTAAATGCCAACCCAGCGTGGCTGATGAAATTCGGCTCAAATAGATTGTACAAGATGCCTGTTACGGGGCAGGATGTGAGGGATGAAGAAAAGTTAAGAAGCTATAGTTATCATGCTAATTTGCCTCACATAGTTTGGCATTTACACGCCAGCAGCAGCAAATATAAATGTGCACTCCGCTATATGCCAAAAACTCCAATGACATACTAGTATGCCGCCAAATTTTTAAGGCCAGACTGAAGATTATCAGCATAACCTACACTGACTGCACCCTGGGGTGACAGGTGCTTCGATAGGTCTCCAGGTAAGGTATTAACTAAAATGTTGGCTTTCAAAAACTGCAAGATTACTTGATGGAAAAAGCGCAAAAAAATTTAAACTCATGTCACTCAAAAAGTACTCAATACATCAAGCTCAAATGTCTTGGGACAGTAATTCGTACCATGCCTTTTCAACATTCAGAGCTGATATTTTTTGTAGCTTGATCGATCAGATACTCAACCAATATGATAAAATGGCAATTAGTATAATTTCCAGAGGTGAATATAAGAATTGGACATTCTGATTGGTTGAAAAGCTCATCATATGACGCCATATTCACCCGACTAGAGCTTGGTTACTAAGCTCACCATCTTTGCCATCTTGGCAAGTAAACATGGCGGACCATTGCTGAATGAAGTTTTCATTTATTCAAAAGACATCACTCCAAGTCAGAGATATTTAAAAGGATGGGGAATTTTCAAAATTACTGCTGTCGCCCTTAGACAAAAACTCTTTTCAAAAACTTGTATTCAAGGCATTTAAGAATTGTAAACACAGTGGTTGCATCGATCGCAGTGGTTGAGTCAGTTCGATTGACCAAAATTTATTTTCCTTCAAACTAAAGCTACTCATTTTTAGGTGATGATGACAACTGTGGATGAAGTCAACAACGATAAAACAAAGGTACCGGATGAATTTATTTTTCGGCGTGTTTGGCTTGTTTGTTTTACTGCAGAACCAGCATCGACAAAACCTGGATGGGACCGACCGGACTGGATAACGGATCGGATCACGGACCAGATCACGGATCGGATCACGGATCGGATAACGGACCGGATCACGGATCAGATCACAGATCGAATCATGGATCGAATCACAGAAAAGAAAAAAAACGTTTTAAAGAAAAAAAAAATCAAATCGTTTATAAGATAATAATAAATAAAAAATAAAAGTGGAAAACTAAAATATGTCAAATAAAAATAAGAATCCCGAATTTGATGCAATGACATGTTAATTACAGAGAATGACAAGAGGTTGTTTAAAAAGCCACATAAGCGCCTAATTTACGACGAATTTAAATTGTAATGAACAGGCAGATGTAGTTCTATTTGAACGTTAGTTGGCTTGAAGCTTGCGTGAACCTCCCATTCTCATTTTTGAAATTGTTGTTAGTATCAGTAGCTAATTCTTGGCACATTTTCGTGTCAGATGTGAGCGTTACAGTTGGCGTTACAGTTAATGAGAAAACTTACGTACAAAAGCTTAAGGACATGACTTGCTTTTAAGGAGCTTCAACACGATTTGTGCATCTTGAAAAAACTAGCCTAGTTTTCAAGTTCGTCATTTGCAGTCCTCATTAATCTTTGCCATTCTTAACGATCCTCATTCCGTTTTGATTTGTTCTTGCCTCTTAAGTGCTTTCTTTCCTAGAACACGATCATTTTAAGGTTTTATTCCATACAAAGGCAACTCTTTATGACCCTAAAAATGACTCCAAAAATCGTGACGTAACTCCTAAAATTTTGTTTATTCTCGGGTTGTGTTATCGTTCACACTATCGATGTTATTCCTATAAGTTTTTGTAAAACAGCTATATTTCCTTGAAATACAAATGGTTTGTTTCGTTTTAATCCAGTACGAAATATTGTATTCCAAACTCACATCTCGTAAAAGTATAGACTTGTCTCAGAAACAGAAATTGTTTGAAATCATCAGGTGTTTAATTCTTTTAGTGTTTTTAGTTCTTGTGTTTCGATTCATATGTTCGCCCTATTACTACCATGCTGACTTGTTTTATAACAGTTTACCTTGGATGCAAGCGAATATACGTAATATCATTTATCTGAACTGCTGAGAAAGATATGAAGACATGATTGATCATCACAATCAAAACCCAACAGCCTCAAAAAAATTCATCTGTGACCAGCTCCCAGTTGGCTTGATATTATAAAAAAATAAAGGAATATCACACCTGAATTAAATAAAATGTTCTGCTCAAAGTAGTCACTCTAGTGTAATTTGCTCAACAAAATTTTGACTTTTGAATCTTGAATTTTGAATTTTGAATCTTGAATTTTGAATTTTGAATTTTTTTCCTTGATCCAATCTGTGATCCGATCCATGATCCGATCTATGATCCGATCCATGATCCGGTCCGTGATCCGGTCCATGATCTGATCCGTGATCCGGTCTGGTCTGGTCCGATCCTGGTTTTGTTGACGCCGCTGCAGAACTCGATGAGTAAATTGATTGACAATCAATGTATATGTAAGCTTATTGTTAAACTACGGCTGCATACATGGATGCACAAGAAGAATTTTGTCTGTGTTTTTATGTTTTTGTAGTCGTTGATATTCACCTCTGGAAATTATACTAAAACAATTATTCGCCTCAGGCTCAGTGAACATTGGTGAATATTCCCATAGAAAGCACCCCTTCCGTCTCCCTGGGTTGATGAACCACGATATTCTCATAATTGATATCAAGAGAAATGTATGACAATTAGTAATGAGAATTCATTTCCCGATCAAGACAATATAATGACATTATTCACAATCAACTTACAGTCTGCCTTCCTTGATCTCATTTCTGACTTTCTTGATCCTCTCGGCATATTTCTCGTAAAAAGGATTCGATTCAATTTCGTCACTTGCTGAATAAGCAGCTCTAGATGAAGAGATAAACCTTACTCTTGCTTCAGAGGAAATTCTGGGTCTAAACCCTTGAATACAAGAGGCTCTGTTCGCGAATTTTCTCAGACAAAAACAAATTCGCACACTGGCAGCCATGTTGGATTTGTCGTCACCAGTCTTCCACTTGTTGAGAAACCCGTTGGAGGGTTGGAGGGCACTAGACTTTAATTTGATCAGCAAAAACAATCCACTTGTCGGGCTTGATAAGGCTACCGGCAGGAGCCCTGCTCTCGGCCACAAGACTCGCCCATCATGTGAGTTCCTGCGCGCAGTGCAAAGTGCACATAATTTTTAATTAACTTGTCTTGCTTCAGGGTACAAGACGCTGAATACAACTTGAGAAGGGAACAAAGAAGTATTTGGAGCCCATGCAATTGACAAAGTTCTTGGAGCGCTGTCACTGAAGTGACGATAATGGGAAATAGAGAGATGAAGCCCAGCCATTTCATTACGTACACTGCACTCTCAATCCCCGCCTTTCCCCCCCCNCATCCCCCAACCCCGCCTCCCCATTGACAAACGATCGAGAAAACATATTTGCAACCTCGTTCCCAGGGTGTCTCATCTTACCGCCCCCCTCGCTCCAGGGGACAGTAAGATGAGAGACCCTGGGAACGAGGTTGACATATTTGCAGACAAAGTTTCTCAAATTGCTTCCTTAGCACGTAAACTAAGACAGACACCTTACACGGAAGCAAAATGTTTCAAATGAAGAAATTGAATTTGTTACACGGAAACAAAATTTGATTCTGCGACAAAATCATTGCGTGTGCGCGCAAACGCAAAGGAAAACAATATTTGATTTCCGCGAGTGTTTCAGCAATATTTCCTCTTTGCAGGACCCTTTGCAGCCCATTATTTTTGGTGGGAGCCCCAATGATATGTGGTACCATAACCAATAAATCTTCCATCCTTGTAATTCTGTTCTTCTTTGCTCTGCAGAATCTCTTTTCTCGATTTATTCGTACATTTGGCAGTATTTGGCAATAATGTTTGAAATGAAACTGTTAGTAATCTGCCCACACATTGTTCCATTGTTTCTGGCTCGGAAGCTGAACAAAAACAGTCACTGGGTTTCAAGTGTTTTAAGCACTGCACCGTTTTAGTGTAAAGCAGGAGACAGACTTTAAAGGAGTACAATGCATCTTGCAACAAATATAGAAAATATAGCCTAATGCTTAAATCTTTCAAGTCAATCTCACTCTTCCCGAGTTTGGACCATTTATGTTCCTGTTTGGTTTACTAATACCGCTTTGCTTAACTCGTTCCCAGTCTTCTCACGTGAGAAAATATTAATGGCACAAATATAATTTTTTCATAAGAGGACTGGGGATGAGTCAGCTACCAAAGACGGGCCGAGCATATCCGAAGATGCCCGAAGGATTCCCAGGAAGTTTTACTATTTCAAACATTTCCCTGTCCCAATACCAGTTGTGTTTTGCCAACCAGGGTACTTTTCCTTAAAAAATAGAACAATTGGGGAATGCACCCCATTCACATAAACCTTTCCTTTCTTTCATTGTTTCAAGTTTTCATATTTTTCGAGACTGTTTCAGTCAAGGGTATAATAGCTTTAATTGTTTAGCTAGGCAAGTTAACTGAATAGGTCTGTTGGTAGACTAGGTATATTACCTTCAGAAACAATGCTCTTAGGTTTCCTTCAATTTAGAGCTTTTTTCCTCTCCGAACCCAAGAAAATACTTATTAAAACACACTGCAATATATGACAAACAGTTTAATAATAACAATGACAAATTCACCAATCCTAATTAAGCCGAGTTACACTAAGACCTGATGACAGTGACAAGAGAAACAACAACAACAACGACAACAAAAATCATTCATGTACACCGTGATTAGATATAAAACAATCACACCATAACTGCCTTCATATACACTAAGATTAAATAATTAAAAACTTCATTTGTCTAAATAAAAGGGTAGATATCAGAACGGAAAATTCAAATTGCAAAATATTTTCATAGTTTTCTATCACTGTTTAGAGAAGTAATCTCCACTCTTCTTTGAGTCTGGGACAATCTGAAATGAAATTCAGGTAGAGATAGTTATTGTTCAGTCAAGAGCAACAACCCTATTATATATAGTAGTCCTGCTATCGTCATGTCAAACTCAATTAATCAATACGTTTGACTACAGCACCAACTGTAGCTCAATGTTGCCAAAGTCAAGTAGCACACCAAGGTCAGTCGCACTGTCCAACTTAAGCACAACTTTGATTCAAACATGGAGCTATATGTACACTTGTGTCAAACTCAGTTCATAATTATAATCCATACTCAATTCATTAAAATTCAGTGGTGAAAAGTTTGACAGAGCGGCCAAATGTTGAATAAAATTGAACTGAATTACAATTGAGTTCGACCAGACGATAGGAAAATGTTTGAAGTGGGCCTAAGGCATCAATTAAGGTGGCTGAACACAGTTTTTGATGCCTGTGTTTCATTCACCTTTTTCTCTAAATGCCTTGATCCTTTGGTCGCCAAGAATGGCAGCAAGCAAGCAAGTTAACAAAAAACACATTGGTTTTTCGATAGTTAAGCTGACATATGTGCCATTGCCATAGCAACATGAATATAAACAGGCCTAATCTAGTCATTAGATTTTCTTTATAATTTGCATAATAATATAACAGAGACATCTTTAATTATCCCTTGTTGAGGGTTCACTGGAATATCTAGAATATCCTTCATTAAAGTTCAAATTTTTTTCAATACTCCAGTCACTTATTTCCTAAAGTATTTTTGTTTCAATTTTTGTGAAATTCTAATGAATGGTTCTCCAGAAATGGGTGTATTTCGATTTCCAATTCCGCATTCAATCGCAATTTTTTGACTCGGCACGCATGCACTGCATTTGACTGGGTTCCTTCAGTAACAAAGAAAAAGCTGAGAATTGCTGGGTTCTTTGCATCGTTACCTTTTCTGACAAACCTTTGTAATCAGAGACTAAAACCATCAATACACTGTGTTCAATTATGAACAGTAGCACAGATGGCACAGGCATTGAGCAAATCAATGATCACTGTATCGATGTCATGTTTGTGTTTTTGCAATCCTTGTGCGTACATTGAAACGCTTTAGCAGGTGCGCACGCAAAAACTGTGTTCGGTCACCTTAACCAAAAAATATGTAACACTCACTGTGTCGCTTCCAGGGCGCCATCCTGCAGGGCAAACTGGAATTGATTTAAAGAGGAAAAGTTAATAAACTTAAGCATATATTGACAGTCACATTTTAAGTATTTTACAGTGGATTTCAACTCACTTTGACCGCGCGGGTTTGGAAACATCTTGAGAACTTGGGAACTACATTCCTGAATTTGCAGTTTTATTGTTATTAGAGCCAATCAACTTGCGAACGTTGAAATGAAAACTACGAGTTTGATGTCGAAGTTCGATTCCACATTGCGAACTTCGCTCCCAAGTTTGAAATTTATCAGGAGGAAGTGGTTAGCTGATTAAGAATTTTTTGTACTATGGCTCACAATCCTTTCGTACATCAAGGAAAGGCTATTCCAAATCATGCAAGAAAGGATATCGTTGACAGGTGGTTGAATGGCACAACACGAAAGCAGATTGGAAGAGATTTGAACATTTCAAAAAGCACCATTCAAATTTGCTAAACATGGACACAGTAACCACAGAATTGGGGAGAACAAGACACGGCTGGCAAGAACCGAAGACGTTGTAACATATACAGAGTTCTGTAAAAAAACAACAACCCAGCATCTCCGCTGAGGAAATTCAAATGAAACTTATCGATAACAAGGTGTGTCTGAGAGAAAATTGTCCGTCCACATCTTCAATAACTTGAGCCTTCCGGGAAGATTTCAGATATTCCTACAGGCGACTAAATGTAACAGCGAGAGAGTTGACTGACAATACAGAACAGCGCCAACAACTGGGTAAAACTCATCGAAAAATCTAACAAAAACAAGAATTTTATAGCCTGAGAAACATAATTTGCGTGCGTGATAAGATCCACACACTAGACAGACTGGTAACCAAACGCGCAAACCCAACAATTTTAATTAGAAACTTGCCGATGAAATATGTAAACAAAGCAACAACTTGTACCTAAGATCCCTCCTAAACCACAAACATGAAGCTGAATTCTTCTTCTCTAATAAGTTTAGTTTTGAGCCGAGTACAAAATTGGTTCGCTTTAAGTGTCTCGTATATGTACGTACATGTTTCCGAATCTAGCTGATGTTTGAAAGTTGATAACCAACTTTTTAAGTTATCACTTCCAACTCCTTCGGTGCATGTCATCGCTATACCTGCTTTTCGCAACTTGGAAGCAAAGTTCGCAATATGGAATTGAACTTCGAGATCAAACCTGTAGTTTTCATTTCAAAGTTCACAACTTCATTGGCTCCAATAACAATAAAACCACACATTCAGGAACGTAGTATCCAAGTTCCAAAGATGTTTCCAAACCCGCACAGCCAAAGTGAGTTGAAATCCACTGTAATACTCAAAACTTATTTAGAAATATTGTGGATCCGTTACCAGGATTGATCATGATAATATAGGATATATCGTTCTCAGGTAAAAAGTATTAAAAAACATAAGGTTTTGACAGCCGGTCTACTGTCTTCGACACATAAAAATTGTGATCACAATTGTCATCACAATTTTTATTCGTCAAAGACAGTAGACTGGCTGTCGGAAGCTTATGTCTTTTGATAACTTTTACCAGAGAACACTATAGCCTATATTATCAAAACTTATTGTTGCATTTTCATTTTCATTACAGACAGTGTAAAGACTAACAGCCAAAAATTACAAAAATGCATAAAATGTAAAATGGCTCCTTCATAAGGGCAGTTGTTCTAGTTCCAAAGGAAAGAAAATTTCTTCCTCACCCTCTCCATGTTTGTCTGTGAATTGGAAAGCTTGCACCAAGCGTAGAACCTCGTCAACAGACCTTCCAACGGGTAAGTCGTTCATTGTGATCTGTCGGAGGATTCCTTTGTCATCGATAACAAATAACCCTCTGTTCAAAACAAAGATAAAAATTTGTTATGATATCAAACGCTAAGAAAAGCACAACATTTATAAGTTTACAACAAAATTCTTCAACAGAAACATCTGCCATCACCATTTGGCAGTTACACCTTGCATTGCGGGGCTTCCTTGAGCTCAATCTGGAACTTGGTGGCAACAGAGTCCAAGAAGGTACAAAGGACTCCACGCACAGAGTATAAATTTTGGAATACTAAGTAAAAGTCAGACATACATGTATGAACTAGACTCTACACAACACTGCATCCTGGCATATTTTTAGAGGGTTATATTCCCCGCTTGACCACCAAAAATCATTGCCTCTGTCAGTACCCTCCGTGATTAGGAATGACGAGGACTAGAAGGAAATGAACAAACCTGAGTGCTGGCCTTACCTGAGTGCGACACCTTGATCCTCCAGTAGAACACCATAATCCTTGGAAATCTGCTTTGTTATATCAGACAGAAGGGGAATATTCATTTGACCAAGTCCTCCTTTCTTACGTGCAACATTGGTCCTAAAGTGACAAATATAATCATGTGAACGTACTGTAGGTTCCTGACCAACCAAGTTTGGTCAATAAAGGACTTACTTCCGGTATACAACATAATAATTATCATTGAGTACCATTTTTCTTGTGAAAAATAGCTGCTAATCTTGGGTGGACAATGTAGCCAAATCTTGCCCACTCAGCTAGCCAATCCCAGTGCTGGATCTGGTTTATCTGACTACCTTGTAATGAGATATTAAGCACTTAACGACTGGCACCCAGGGAAACAGTGAGTTTTGCTTCCCCGAGACCCTTAATGTTCCCTGAGGCGAAGCCAAGGGGAACACTGAGAGCGAGGGGAAACAAAACTCACTGTCTCCCAGGGGCCAGTCATTAAGTGTTTTGTTACACCTCCCAACTCAAAAATAGAAAAAAATGATTCGCTTGACGCCTAGGGTGGCTGTGCCTGCAGTATGAGCGGCAGTCAAACTGAGCTGTCATGCCAAAACAACATGATAATAGTCTTTTTCTTCACAGCTAAAAAAAAGGAAGACAATACTTAAGTTGCTTTGGCTTCTTCTAATTGCAGCATATTTTGTTGTAAATGACACAACTATTTTCCTACCTGATGACGGCGATCGAAGAGCGAGTCGCCACGTGCCGAAGGCAACACATTTTTGACACCAAATTAGAAGCTTGAAGACAGAAAATGTTTCCCCTTTGTTAATCTGATATGTTTTTGCAATTATAAATCCCTTTTCTTGAATAATGAATGCTTTCTCTAGTGAGAAACGTTGCCTGACTTCAATGGCTTTTTGACATCAGGCCAACTGGCACACAAATTTGCCACTGTTAGTGTTGCAAAGTGCACAGCCTGATCATGAGCACGTCGAAAGTTCAAGTTGTTGTTTCCCTAGGGAGTTAGTGAGTTTTGTTCACCCAAGGGAGTTAGTGAGTTTTGACCCATGACACGTGACACATTCTCCTCCAATCAGAAAACGTATTTGAGTTGGGAGGTATAACAATATGCTTTATATAATATCTCAAAATATTCTCATATTTGATTAGTACTTAGGTTATGATCTGTTGGAGGACAAATGCCTAGATGCCGTCATAAGCAATGTTATTTTGTTTCTCTATCGTATAAAATTAGAATCCAAGTTGTCGTGTTTCTTTTCGGTAAAAAGTCACAGACGACAACAAAATGTAGTAAGGACATCGGTGACACACTCTCCTAATGGCTGGTGAGCCACTTTCTTGCTCTTACCACATTTAGACGTCACCTGTGATCTAGTACTGAACAGACGCATGGCAACATGGAATCTATTTGTTAACTATATACCCTAAATCCTTGACTTAGTGCCCGGGGATGCTTATTTCAAATTTAGGAGAAGATGGGGGACCTGACAAGATCATTTTTTTAATACATCAGCCACAACATAAGCTGTTTATCCACACAAAAAGCTGATCCTAAAGTTTAAATTGCGGCACCATTAGTACTTGTCCAAACTTAATGAGTTCACAAACTGAAACAATGTACAAATCTAATACTACATGAATGATGAAAACAATACATCCTTTGTTGTCTCATTACTTGTCCACAAAATGGGGGGAGGGGAGGGCACTTATTTTAAATTTTGGCTAATAGGAGGGTCGCTTGTACGAAGGGGGTGCACAGTCAAATATAGCCTTACCAAGCTAAATGCGAAAACTCTGAATCAACAGAGCAAGCAACAACCTCACAGTTAATGGCACGAAACTCCTCGACCCGGTCACTGAAAGCAATGATCTCTGTTGGACAAACAAATGTGCTAGAAAACAGGAAAAAAATAAAAAATTAAAGAGTTATCACTTGTGCAAAATTTTTACTGAGATCTTGCTGAGATTGGCGAGATCTTGTCAATCTGAGATTGCAGAGATCTCACCATGATGTTAGTGGGTTTCTCAAATCTTAGCGAGATCGCAGCAAGATTTTGTACATCTCNATATGTAAACAAAGCAACAACTTGTACCTAAGATCCCTCCTAAACCACAAACATGAAGCTGAATTCTTCTTCTCTAATAAGTTTAGTTTTGAGCCGAGTACAAAATTGGTTCGCTTTAAGTGTCTCGTATATGTACGTACATGTTTCCGAATCTAGCTGATGTTTGAAAGTTGATAACCAACTTTTTAAGTTATCACTTCCAACTCCTTCGGTGCATGCCATCGCTATACCTGCTTTTCGCAACTTGGAAGCAAAGTTCGCAATATGGAATTGAACTTCGAGATCAAACCTGTAGTTTTCATTTCAAAGTTCACAACTTCATTGGCTCCAATAACAATAAAACCACACATTCAGGAACGTAGTATCCAAGTTCCAAAGATGTTTCCAAACCCGCACAGCCAAAGTGAGTTGAAATCCACTGTAATACTCAAAACTTATTTAGAAATATTGTGGATCCGTTACCAGGATTGATCATGATAATATAGGATATATCGTTCTCAGGTAAAAAGTATTAAAAAACATAAGGTTTTGACAGCCGGTCTACTGTCTTCGACACATAAAAATTGTGATCACAATTGTCATCACAATTTTTATTCGTCAAAGACAGTAGACTGGCTGTCGGAAGCTTATGTC